CCCCAAAACCCCAAAACCCCAAAACCCCAAAACCCCATTTAAATGAATAAAAATTGAAAATGTCAAAATATTTATAAAGCAAGCATTGAATTATCTTTGCCCAATATTTTTCTTATTCTAAATCTCTACAGTCAGTTATCCCGAACATTTTAAGTGTTTGTGAAGCTTCTGGGAAATATTCTTTACCTCTCCAAATTTGTCTATGCCCAAAACATTTAGTCTGAATTCTTAAAGAATTTATGAATGTAGAGCAAGATTGCAAAATGAAAGGAAGGAGTTTTTATGCTACCCCCAAGGATCAATTGAAAGTCCCATTCTACATATTTGAACAGAAAATCCTTTCTATGAAAATGAAATAAGAACCTGTTTTTGGATAAATGATAGTTTCCTTGAAGACCTAGTACTAGTGTCGTGTGAAATTCTGAGTATTTTACGGTAAATATTTTGTGAAAAGATTGAACTTTCGAAGATCCTATGTTAGGCAATAAATGAAGGATATGCTTATGAGTATAAATAGTTTATAAAGGCAAAAAATATTGCAAGATTTAGCTTGATACTTGATTAGTTAGCAATATTGATAGAAATACAATTTTTAGATATTTTGAATTCGTTGATACGAAATTTTTATGAATTTGCCAGAAGCATAAAATAGAGTTCGCTTGATAAACTAATGCTTCGTAATACTAATTTGTTGCTTGAAAAGAAAATATTTCTCAATTTTAACAAGAAAACACAGAATATTTAATTTTCTGTATAGAAATAGTTATCTTCTAGTTGGCAATATTTTAAGTTTATCCCTTGTTATTAAAATCGAAAATTATTATTAAACCTGATTTGACGAAGCCTTTGAAGATATATCGAAGAAGGAGCTTATTTTATAAAAATACAGTCGATAGTTTGGTTCGAAACATTCACTTTTGAAAATTCTTCAAAATATAATATCAATCAAAAATAATAGGACTTGATAAACATTTTCCTCATAATATTTAATAATATTCAGGTTCCAAAACTCTAGATTATTCTTGACATATCAGATTTTTATTAAACACTATCAAAGATTTAAATCCCTTACCATCCTCTTCTCTTGAATCCACCTAAACTATTTTCCTCCATACATTTCCAAATTCACCATCCCCAGTCAGTTAAAGCACATCTCCAAATTCACTCAAACCTGCCTTCATCCCTCTATCCACCCAATCTTCCCAACCCCACTGCTGCTCTTTCCTGTTTTCCCCTGTCTCACCCACTGCCTGGCAACATCTTGTTATCAGAACTGAGACTCTGCCTTCTTGCTCCAATTGGATGTAGAGGAAGAGAGTAGTGAGTGGGCTAAGGGAAACGAATTGTTGGGCTGAAAGAGAGGAGGACAAAGTGGGGGTTGAGGTTCAATAAGGTCTGAGAGGAAGGGGTTTTGGGGTTTTGGGGTTTTGGGGTTTTGGGGTTTTGGG